CCAAGAGGAGAATGGAGGAGAAGGGATTGCGGCATGGCCATCCCCCCTGGGGGGTGATTTCTCCCTTTCTGTCTCTCCGTCTCTCTCTGTCTGTGTGGCGAGTGCACGTGCCCTATAGCAAAAAAAAAAAAAAAAGATTCATTTTTAACTTAGACTAGATGAGTGTCTGCAAGAGTTCCTAAGAAAAAGTTCCACAAAGTAAGTGAACTATTCAAACCGTACTAGCAAACCATTAGCTGATTTTTTTTCTAAGATTCATTGATTTAATTCTATTTATTATTATTTTTCAATTTGACCAGAGAGAGGCAGAAGAAGAGAGAGGAACGGAAATTGGAAAACCAAGCCACCAGGTCCAGGACTTGAACTGTGGTTGACCATATGGGAGTCTAACACTCCAAACGCTCTACCACCTGCTGGCCCCTAGATTATTTTTTTAAGCCATCTCAATCCATATCAATTACACTCAACCTCTGATCATTGTTCGAACGCCAGGTCAGACCACCTATTCCAGGGAGGCCTCTTAGGCTTTGTACCCTCAATAAGAAATGTTACAATCTGTTATTCCAATGGGCTTCTTTCTAGTTATTTTCTTGTTCGTACATTCATCGGCGTACAAACTCTGTCACTCCACAGGCCTGATCCCCCTTTTATTTATTTATTTCTTTTGGAGAGGTTTATTTTGTTTTGTTTTGTTTTGTTTTGTTTTTTGCTATAGGGTGTGTGCGCTCGCCAGACAGAGAGAGACAGAGAGACAGAAAGTGAGAAATCACCTCCCGGGGGGGATGGCCATGCCACCATCCACGCTGCCATCCCTTCTCTTCCATTCTCCTCTCGGGATCTTTGGAGCACGCACGCACAAGCACCGGGCGTGAGTTTAAGCCACTGGGTCCGGGTGCAAAACCAAATAAGACTACTTGGGAGCCCAGCCACAGCCATTACGCTAACTGCTGATCCCGATCCCCTTTATAACGTGCATGACTCCCACCTAGAACAGTCCTTGAACATAGCAGCTAGCCAAAACACAAAGATACTCTCCTTTTTTTTTTCCTCCCAGGCTTTTGCCATAGGGTGCGTGCGCTCCTAAGAGAGAGACAGAGACAGAGAGACAGTGAGAGGGAAAGTGAGAAATCACTCCCCGGGGAGATCACACGCCACAATCTATCCATTCTCCCCATGGGCATGCACACACACGTGCCCAGTGTGGATGTCAAACACCAGGTCCAGGATTGGAACTGCGGCCATGTGGGAGTGCAACACCTTTACCGCCACTCCACCTGCTGGCCCCAAAGACGCTCTTACTAGAACAGGTTCAATAATCTCATCAGATTCCAGCTATGCTACATCGCCTTGGAAACATGCACTTAGAATCATAAAATTTTAAAGCTAGCAAGGTCCTTTCAAGCCATTTAGAAATTTCTCTCATATCAGAAATGAGGCAACTGGGTTCTGAAGACGTTAAGTGGCTTGTCCAAATTTAGTGACAGAATTAGGACGACCCAGGTCCCTGACTCCCTTCCAAGTGCCGCAAAGAACCTCAATTCCCTCATGAAAACATTTTCAAGTGTGCAGTTGAAAAGGCAAGTTGAGCTCACTTCTCCAAATCCTAAGCTCATTCTTATAAGGGGGCTGGAACTAAATCATCTCCCAAGTTCTCTTCTAGAAATCTGCTGACTCTAATTTCAAAATGTATCATACCAAACGTCCCCAGGATTGTGTGGGGACAGAAAGCTGCTCCTGTCTTCCCTTCTAGAACAAGAATGTGGGGGATGTGCCCAGAGAAAGGATGGGGTTTACTTTTCGGGAAGCGAGAGAAGCAGGGGTAGGTGTAGTAAGCTGCTTCTCAGGACCCCCCCACCCCTCCACTCCCTCCTGGGAACCCACTGGGAGTAGGCCAGGAACTTGGCAGTCACTCCTACAATGCAGCCCCTGAGGTTTCAGCCCTGGTCTCCGCCTCCTCCCCGGAATGCGGGTGGGAGGGGAGCAGGAAGACACAGAAGGCTGGAGGGAGGGGTGTGGGCCAGGCTAGGCACCAGCCTATCCTGATTGGCTGTCGGGATGCAAGATGGGCAGACGTCCCCAGGTCGCTGCTGGCTTCCCCTTGTGAATCCCTCCTTTCGTGTTTCCATTCTCTACCCAACTAGGTGTGGCCACACACGTGAGCACCTGCACGCAATCCAGAGTCCTCCACTCTGTGGCAGCAGGACCCCGGCGTGGCCACCTCTCTGCCCACTCCCCTACCCCGTCGGAGGAGCCCAGTGCTGGGACACAGTGACAGCCATCCTGGGAGCTCCTGAAGCTACTGGTTCAAACCCTCTCATCATGAAGGATGCCCCAGCACCGGGGTGCACCTGTCTAACACCGGAAGCAGGGCTGGTTTGGGATGATTTCCTTCTTACATACGCAGAGCCAGTTCAAGGGTAGCGCTTTAGAATGCCACTAGCACTTGTTCTGTTTTCTTAAACTTTTGGAGAGGCTTTTGCTATAGGGCACGTGCGCTCACCAGAGAGAGAGAGACAGAGAGACAGAAAGCGAGAAATCACCCCCCAGGGGGATGGCCACGCCGCAATCCCTTCTCCTCCATTCTCCTCTCGGGATCTTGGGCATGCACACACACGCGCCCGGAGTGACTTTAAGCCACCGGGTCTGGGACACAAACCGTGGTCGACTACATGAGAGTCCAGCGATAGCCATTATGCTAACTGCTGGTCCCTGTTTTCTTAAACTTTATCACGGTAAAGGGATGGAGGTTGGGGATCCTCACTGGCTGACAACAAGTCCACAAGTGCATACCTACTTTGGACATTTTGATTTGCTGATCACAAGCAACGTGTTGTTAAATGCATTACCTTTAAAAGAGAAAAACAGCTGTTGACTTGTTCACAGGAAAAAGGTATGCTCAAAATTAAAAGCCTCCTTATTGGTGCCAAAATATATTTCCTAGACTCTGCACAGCTTCTCAGAAACCTAAGAATCAGAAGTCTTTTAGCCTACAACTTTTTCTCAATATTTGAAATTTGAAGAGGGACGTGTTGCTCTGAAATCTAAGATTCCATCAGATGAAAAGTTTGGCTTAGAAATGTCAAAACTCTTCATGACTTTTTAAGAGAATCTGGTTTAAACAAGTACTTTTATTGGGATTTTGGGTTGGAAAGGAAGAAGTGACAAGTCAGCCAAGAAAGTGAAACCGTTCTGACTAAAAACCTAGGTACTTTGTCACCCAAGGATGACATTCTTTGACTGATGAGTGGACTCAGTCATTTTATGGTTTATTTTTTAAAAGAATTATTTTTTATTTATCTTTATTTAGTTAGCTATTCATTCATTTTATAATTTGATCAGAGAGGGGCAGAGGGAGAGTGTGTGCGTGAGAGAGAGAGAGAGAGAGAGAGGGAGAGAGACAGGGAAAGTGAGAAAGCAAGGGCCCTGACTCGGGACTTGAATCATGTTCAGCCCTGTGGGAATCCAGTGCCCCTACCCACCATGCCACCTGCTGGCCCTGACTCAGTCATTTTAATGCACAGATTCTACTTCTGCAAATGCTAATGACCAAGAAAAGAAAATGGCTGGGAAACTTATTAAGTATTGGAACAAATGTGGCCTTTATACTTGAGACTAGCACACAGAAAAGCAAGCAAGGTCTATGAGCCCACACATATTCCGGAAGTCCCCAAATGGGCTTATGTACATTTCAGTTCTCTGGAAATCTGAAAAGGGTGGAGCCTGGGGACCTCCAGAGAAATGCTGTGAAGGAGGTAGGAGGGGCTTAGGGAGCTGTCCCTTCCTAAGAAAATGAAAAGCATGTTCCAAGTTCTTGCTTTCTTCCCTCACTCTACTGAGACTGGCCAAAGAGGCAGGCAGCCCCCTACCTGGCAGGCCCTGGGAGATACTAGAAGATCTGGACCTTGGGACAGAAGCGGTGCAGCAGCAACACGAAGCTCAGCAAGGCTGCCCCTCGTGGGAAGGTTCTATTCACATCCAGCAAGCACCCTGAACCCACCAGGCAAGTGTGTGTTCGCGATCTGGGCTAAGGCCCAGGCTGGACAGCAGTGTAAGAACCTCGTTGAGGGGGGGAAGGGGATGTGGTGCCTGATTGTCTCTGTCTCTCTCTCTGTCCCCGTTGTTCATGGAAGAAAAACAGGAGCAGGAGGAGAAGACAGAAAAGAGGTGTCCCCACCCAGCACTCTGGCCCTGAGTATGGCTGATAGGGACAACAGCCTTTCTGATCGAGGTGGCCCTTAGAGAAGTGGGGGACAGAGAGATGACCAACAGATGACAATCAGGGAGAAGGGACAAACCCCACCTAACCTGCCGGACTATGAGGACTATGAAGGATGAAAGGTGTCTCTTGCACCATCACCACCCAATCAGAAACATTATCGCAGAGAAAGGGAAACCCCCCAGCTCTCACCCTGATAAACAGGGTTGGGCTGCCCAGGGAGTTCTACTTGTAAAACTTTCCTTTGATGTTAAGATAACACCTTGTGGCTACACCAATGCATTTATTTCCTATTGTTGCAAAGAGCTGGACAAATCCACCTGAAGACATTTCAATTATCACCCGATGATTGGATTTCCTGTTTGGGGCCACTCAGTCCCTTTCACATCTCCTGTGAACAGTGTCCAACAGCATCCCTGAACATTCGAAACAGAACCCTCTGCCTTCCTGAGAGCAGCCTTGCAGCTACTCAAGTTATGTCAATGCTTCCTTACAGGTAACTCTGGAGAGAAAGCACTTGTTACCATCTTATTTCCTCAACTTGGTAAGAAAAATAAATAAATAACAAAAAAAAAAAAAAAAGAAATAACACAAGAAACAGGAAGACTGACAGCATTCCATTTCAAATACTCGTACAACGTTTGCCAAAGGAGTTCAACCTTGCTTTGCACACACTTTTTCATGCAATGTCCTTATTCTTTAAGACAGACTTTGGGGTTTCCAGGCACCCCTCCTTCCCAACCCAGAGACCCATCTCAACTCCAGAAAAAGGCACAAAACTCACCTGCCTCAGCGATTCCTATAGCCCAGGGAAGTGAGAGAACACGAACACCCCAAACATGGAGGCGGTTCTGCAAGGTGATTCCCCAGCCTAGAAACAGTTCTCCTTTCATTCCAGCTAGCCCTTCCCACACCGGGCATGCTCCAAAATCATAACAAAACCCAGGGCTGGCCCTCCTCCAGACTTTACCAATCCCTTTTCACACAGAAGACGAGAATAAATGGCTGCTCCTCTGAGCAAGGGCTTTTCACCAGGGCCTCTGTGTCCAGCGCAGGTCCAGTGCAAAAAGTTGAGAAGTTTGGACTTGTAGACACAGACCGGATTTCTTGAGTGGGACCCATGTAAACCGGGTCATTTTAAAATATTCTTTCCAAGTCCGATTATATTAATAAATGAAATCATCCCATCATCTCGTAAGAAAGTGTGAGATGCACAAGCATCGCTTTCCATTTCTAGCTGTTTAAACGCCTTCCAGAGAAGAAGCTGTTTTACATGAACTCACTGTAGGTGGGTTTCCAAAATAAGTAAGTAAATCAAATTTGACAAAGTACAAAGTTTTAAAAAAAAAAAAAAAAAAAAAAAAAACAAAGTACAACGCGAGGCCTTGGTGGAGGGTCTCGCAGTCACCCAGGATCAGGAAGCTGCTAGAAACAATTAAGCCGGTTTCGAAATGACGGGGACAGGATGCGCGCAGAGAAAGGAACGTTGCGCGCGCGGGAGGCGCCGCCGGAGTTACCACCGCGAAGAGCCCTGAACTTTCAGAGGGCGGCCCGGGGTCACTCCCACCACCCCCTCTCTGCCCCGGCCGCCTGACACACACTTAGCCCCGGAGGTCCTTGGCGGAGGGGAGGGAGAGGTAAGAGCGGCGAGTAGAGGGGGCGGGTCGCCACGAACAACGAGGTTTCGCTTTCGTCCAAGCGGGGGCAACCGGAGCGCCACGAACTTCCTCCCCGAGAGCCCCCGGGCGGGGGGACGGCTGAAACGCCCGGAGCCGCGGGGTTGCGGCCTCTGCGCCTCCAGGGAGCTCGCGGTGAGTTGGGGTGGGGGGTGAGGACGGCCGCGATGTCCGGGGCGCCCCCCGAGGGCACCTACCTGCGGGCGGCGCGCTCAG